TTTTTATCATGTCTCAAAAAGGAGGTTGTCCATGAAAATGTTTTGATTGGCCTGGTGGTCCATGGACTGAAAGGAGTTGAGAACCACTGGAACTAAAGTATTTGTTGTTTTTTAAGTTTTTCCTGTTACAGACTAACTTGGCTACCCCTCTGAAGCTTTTAAGCACATGGATAGTGCTGCTGAATGGGAGTCAATTGTGTGATTAAAGTTCCACATTTGCTTAGGTTTACTTTTCATTAGTTATTACTTTTCATTATTTTTGGATGTTTGTCTGGCAGGTTTTTTTTTGTAAATTTCAAATAAGATTCTCTACCTCTAACTACAACACTTCCTTCCTGTTCTGGCATTTATAATTTAGAACATTATACATTTTAACCTAAGTTTAACATTTAGTTTTACAAACCTCAATCTGATTTGATTTACTTATAGGAATTTGTTGTTTCAATTTGCATTTTATGTATATTGAGTGGTACATGTAATCAATACATGGCATATATTATATTCTAGCCAAACTCATATTTTCATCACTTAATACATACAAAATTCATAATGGTCCACATAGTCTGGGAATGGATAATGTATAATGGGATTATGTTGAAGGAAAAGATACCATTTTTCTTTGACGGAAAAGCTGAAAATTTTGGCATTCTTTTATTTTTGAATTCTTAAACATAATTCAGTTTTAAGGATTACATGCAATATGACTTTGACAAAATACCTGTTTCATTATAATGTCATACTACTATATATTACATCATAATGTTTCAACCATCACAGAATATTTTTTTAGTCAAATACAATAAACAATTCAAGCCAATCCTGTCTGAGCAATGAGTTGCTGAATGCTTAATTGATAAAATGAGGCTTCTTCATTCTACATTGTCGTAAACTTCAGAAAAGAGTGACAGGATTGATTAAAGGATTACAAATAATCTTATAGTAGACACATAGACTGAATACTTTGAATCTTAACAGAGACAAGGTTAAGGGACTTGACTACAGTCTATAGGTATCTCTCAACACGGGGTAGAAATATTGAATACATGTCTCTTCAATCTAGCTGAGAAAGGTATGACATGAGCAATAGCTGAAATATGAAGCTAAGTCAAATTGATGCTAGCATATATTTTAATAGTGAGACTAATTTAACTATTGGAGCAATTTCCCAGGGAACACAATTCAGTGTGCAACTGCAGTAAATTAACATAAATGACTTTCTACAATTATCTGTGCCTCTGAAAACCTGGCATCATAATGAAGTTAAATAATCAAGAATGGACAGGACTAAGGGTACGTCTACCCTGCAACACTTCCGAAACAACTAGCGCTATTCTGAAATAACTTAGTCTGCATCTACACAGCAGGCAGTTATTTTGGAATAGTGTCAAAATACTGTCAAAGTGGAGGACTTCTTACTCTGACTCCTGTAACCCTCATTGTAGAAGGAATAAGGAAAGTCAGAGGAAGAGTTCTCTATTTTGAAATAAGTGCTGTGTAAATGCTCCCAATTTCAAAATGAGCTATTGTGAAATAAAACTGACGTAGCTCAATTTGCGTATCTTATTTCAAGTTAAGCCTGGCAGTGTAGACACACCCTAAGAAAGAAAACTTTAATTCTTAACTTCAGATATAATTCTAGAAAGACTCCTTGGACAATCCTCAATCTTACGTTAAGCATCTTTTTCCGAGAAGATGGAAGCTTAATTTGTGTAGTATGAAAATCTATTTCAAAGTGTCTTTTCTTAGCAGGTGGAGCATATACTAGCCATATAACTTTCCTAGTCTATGCAAACTTCAGCACTTAGTTTTCCAAAAGCTGCATATATTTTGTTGCAGAGTATTTGTTACATTGATTAAATTTGCCTTACTTTTTCTAGCTGCTATAATGTGCATAATAAGGGGATTTCAGTTAAATGGGTTCAAGCAGCCAGTTATATTAAAACCAGCAGTTGAAACTGTGGAAAATTCAGTGGAACCCTACATTGATTTTTTTGATTTGCAAAAATTGCATTTATAATGACAGAAGTATTGACTTAAAAAGTAGTTTATAACAGTATGCTGCGAAATTAGTATTACTTTTTCACAAAAGAACAAAGGTACCCTTGGTACAATTATAGGAAGAAGAGGAGCCAGGTGCTTTTCTGTAAATCAGAGTACTTGGAACAAGTTTTATCTTCAGAAAGGCAAACATTTTCAATTCAGTGATGCTGAATATATACAAGTATGAATGATTCAAAGTAAGAGGTCTATATAGAATCATGATTCGATGTAGACTCACAGATTCTATAAAGATTCATATGAATCATACAATCATATGCAAAATGTCATGCTGGCATGAAACACAGTACTAAAGCCCCATTCTTAATATAACCCTATTTTAACTTTGACCGACATCTGTCTTAAAACTATGGCTTCGAAAACAGAAAAATGGGATCTAATTCAGATTAAATACTCTGCTTAGCAATGTATCACTGGTTCTTTTCAGTCTTTTAGCATGAGTTCTTGTAATGTCTCCTTTTAGCCAATGTCAATATCTTTGTTCTATAGTCCATGTGGTAATAGTGGAAAAATTAAGAAACCTTAATTGGTTTTTCCATTTCAACAGAATAAAAATCAAGAGGACGTGCTACTTGGAAAGTAGGTGTATACTAAGTGCACTTACTGGAAACTTGTATATTCTGTAAAACTATATTGAGTACTGATAGCACAAGTAGTGTTCTGGAGTGTAGAATGAAAGTTGTATAAAAATACTATTTGATCTTTGCAACCTGTTCAGTCTAAAGTAAAAAACTACTTTTAAGAAGTGTCTTTGAGCTTAAAGAATTTTTGTCGCTGTACTCAAAGAGAAGTCATAAACCTCATTGTCTTCCTACTTCGTTTATGTGAGTACCAGCTACCTGAACCCTTAGACAAGGAGACAAATGATAGCATTTGGCTGGTGCAGACTCAGAGGCATCGTCTTTTCTGTAGCAATGTCTTAGCTCAGCTTGTCTGATCCACCTGTAATTAGGAGAGTGTACCCAGATAATACTTTCAAGCAAGAAATGAAGGAAACTACTGCTGAAAACTGGATCTGAAAAAAGTGAAAGGATTTCTAGAGATATACATGGAAGAGCTCCATTCAAATTTTGTCACAGGTATTTTCCTTTAAAAGTGCAAGATGGAGCTCAGAGCTCTACTTACCCTGCTGTCCCTTTCCTCTGCATCCTGGTCTGTTTTTAAAACTTGGATCAACCTATCTAGTTATGTCACTCAAGGGTGTGAAAATTCATTTTTCAGAGACACAGGCAGCCTTCAGAGACACAGTTATGCTGCCTTAAGCCTTGTTGTTGATATCATTAGCTCAATGGAAGAATAATTCTATCAACCCAACTACTGCCTTGCCACAGGTGGATTTACCACAGCAATGGAAAACCCCTTCCAGTGTTGTAGCAAGTGTCTACACTACAGCACTATGGGAAAGTAGCTGCAACTCGTCACTAGTGCTTACAGGGTAGATTTACCCCATGAGGTGTATAGACGATAGGCCAGGGATGGGCAAAATACAACCTGTTGGCTGGATCTGGCCCATCTGCCACTTCTGTGTAGGCTGCCTTGGTTTCTGGCAATTAGGACCACAGCAGAGGATGGAGTCCAATTGCTGGTGCCCTGCGTGCTGCAAGGTGCGCAAGTGTGAAGGGCTGACTGGGGGATGCTAGCCTCAAGCTTGCCCCTTCTGCCTGAGGCCCTGCCCCCTTCTGAGTCCTGGAGTTAACTTCTCCCCTCCCCAGGAGTCTGGCAGCTGTGTAATACCCACTGGAGACTTTTTCTTCATTGAGTTTTATTTCTTCTTTTCACTTACTAAATGTAAGTTGTAAGTAAAAGTTTAGTATTAGTATTATTACAAATTTAACAAGTGTTCATAAAATAGTTTGCAATATCAATTGCCTTCTAAGAGAAGCTGTGGATAATTGTGTATTCAGTTAATTACTAAGTGCAATTTGTTGTATAAAAACATAATGGAGCCTTTTCATTAAAATAGTAGAACTTTGTGGCCTGTTTTTGCAGAGGGATCATTCCACAAATTAGTGCCCATTCCTGCCTTAGCCCTTGGATGCATGCATGTTGTTCAATTTTAAACCTACAGGGATGATGTCATTCAACTCAACCTTAGGATATGGGTGTATTACAGCAGCAAGTGTATGCCGCTAGAGTACTGTACCTTGTATGCTTCCTGGATCTATGGAAGTGGGTTTTTCTGAAGTTCTGAATTACATAATCCACTTCTGCAACAGGTAGCAGAGTCCTTCCACTGCTTTAACTCAACCTTACCCTTGCTCTAGACATATCTAAGTCTAACTTTCAGAGAACAAACTTATTTACGCCCTGAGCTCCATTTCATTCGCAAATAGGAGTGTTCACATCAGAATTTTATGGGCACTAGCTTCTTGTCTGTCATTAAGTCCCCTGTCATGTTCCTGACTATTAAAGGACAGACAACACCATGGGGCCTGAACCTAGTAGCAACGGAAATACAAGATCTGGGTGTAGATGGTCCCTTAGGTTGCTCTAAGTAGGGCATACCCCCAGCGGCCCTCGTGCAGTCTGCTGTGCGCTGAGGATCATGGGTTGTGGGAGCCCAAGGGAACGAAGCCAGCACCATGCGACCGGCGGACTCTGGCAGACCGGCCCAAGTTTGACATGAACCAAAGGGGCACTAGGACCCGACAGCGACTTTCGCGAGAGGAGGCGGGGCAGAACGGAGTGGTTGGGGGCGAGGGGAGTGCGGATGAATGTATGCCCTCTCAACCAAGTTTGTGTTTATCTGAAGGGTGACCCAGCCTCCCTCGCTAGTGGTGATTTGGCCAGTATTCCTGAGCTTCCTTTCTGATTGGTGGTTGAGGCTGTCACTCTTTAGTTTTCCAACCCCCTCCCTGAGGATAGGCCGGGTTCAGGGGCATGCGCGGGGACCTTTGCTCTCGGCCGGGCAGGGAGGGTTAGCGTGGGGGATGATGGGAGGTTTCCAAAAAAGTGATCGCAGACCCCTGCAGCGTCTCCTCCATTCATTGCAGTGACGAGCGGCGGCGCGTGCGGACCCCGGCGGCTGCAGACACGGCGGCGCGGCGGCCGGGGCGCGGCAAGCGGAGAGTTTCTGAGGCCCTAGGAGGGGGCAGTCCGTGCGCTGAGAGGGGGCAGGCTCCACGCTCCCGGGCGCTGCGAGGCGGCTCGGGGAGTCCGGTCCGGGCGCTGCGATTGCCTGGCCCCTGAGGGAACATGGCCACTATGGAGAAGCTGATGAAGGCCTTCGAGTCCCTCCGCTCCTTTCAGCAGCAGCAGGGTCCGGCTGCCATTCCCGAGGAGCCGCTCCAGAGAGTGTGAGTGTGCGGCCGGGGGGCGGCCAGGCTAGGTCGGGGGCAAACCTAGGAGGGGACCATAGAGCTTTCTTAGAAGCTGCCGCCCCAGCAGCGGGGGTGGAGTGGGCGGGGGAAGGGACGCCCGTGGGGGGGCCTGCCACTGGTGGGGCGGATGGGCCCTTGATGTTGTCTCTTGAGCTGACGGATGCGTGGCGGCGGGTTCCAAAGCAGTTGGGTTCCGTTACAGGAACCCAGCAAAAGGCTCTCACCAGAAAGAAAAGGTTTATTAACCTGCTCCGCAGTGAGGGTCGCTCCCCCGAGTAGAGCAGCAGCTTCTTTAGGCCGCTGCTATCTGCTACGTAGATATATACACACACATACATACACCTCGTGACAGCCAGGGAGCCTCTCGCATGCTCTAGCGAACTCCTGGAATAATAATAAATAGTAATTCACGTGTGTGCCCGCAAAGCAAGGCTGGTATTCTGTACTCAGCTGGCCTTTTCTCATTGGAAGAAGATAATTTAATAAAGTATCCTGGTAATTGGGTATCCAGAGTCTAGCATGTACTGAACTTTTATTTTTGAGGGGGAAAAAGAAGCTTTATGTGAAAGATCCTTGGTCGGTAGTTAGGTTTGTTTTTCTTAAAGCAGCAGTTCTGTTAAAACAGACAAATTATTATAGTAATTATGATGTATACTATAAAATGTGAACTATGAGACTGATATGGAGGAATGAATAACTTTAAAACAGCTAAAACAAAATACAGGACTATATAGCACTTGAAAGACTAACAAGATGATTTATTAGGTGATGAGCTTTCGTGGGCCAGACCCACTTCTTCAGATCAAATAGTGGAAGAAAGTAGTCACAACCATATATACCAAAGGATACAATTAAAAAAATGAACACATATGAAAAGGACAAATCAAATTTCAGAACAGAAGGGGAATGGGGAGGGGAAGGTAAATGTCTGTGAGCTAATGATATTAGAGGTGATAATTGGGGAAACTATCTTTGTAATGGGTAAGGTAACTAGATCCTTTGTTCAGACTCAGGTGTAAAGTGTCAAATTTTAGCATGAATGACAGTTCAGAGGATTCTCTTTCAAGTGCAGTCTAAAAGGCTTTTGAAGCAGGATGCAGGTAATTAAGTCGTTGAGACAATGTCCTTTCTGGTTGAAATGGTAAGAAACTGTTTTTCTTTGTGATCCTAATATCTGTTTTGTTGGCATTGATCCTTTGGCGAAGTGTCTGAGATGTTTGTCCAATGTACGTAGCAGATGGACGCTTTCGGCACATGATAGCATAAATTATATTTCTGGATGCACAGGAATATGTGTTCTTGATCTTATAACTCACTTGATTGGGTCCAATAATGGTATTGCAGAGTGAATATGTGGACAAAGCTGGCAATGGGGTTTGTTGCAAGGGAAGGTACCAGGGTTGGTATTAGTGAAGTATGTCCAGTTTAGTATCCTGTTCCAGTATGGGCTGTAGTTTATTGATAATGTGTTGGACAGGTTTAAGTTGGGGGCTGTAAGTAATGACAAGTGGTGTTCTATTGTTGGTTTTCTTGGGTCTGTCTTGAAGTAGATGGTTTCTAGTCTGGCTCTTTCAATGTGCTTTTTTATTTCTCCGGGTGGGTAGTTGAGATCCTGAATTTTCTGGTCTCTGTCAGTGGGATTAGAGCAGATGCAGTTGTATCGAAGGGCTTGACTATAGATGATGGATCATATGGTGTGTTCTGGATGGGTACCCTGGGTTGGAATTGCATCCCCAGAACTGTCAGCTGGCTGTGGCTTTGGGTGCTGGTCCATCCCCCAGCAGGACTCAGGCTCTCTTCTCTCCCCTTTCAGGCTTCAGTCATCTCCATGTCATTATCCCCACACACTTATTTTTTAATAAAAGTCCTGAATAGGTCCTGGGAAATAAACAAAAATTAATTAAAGCCCATAACCTGTCTGTGAATTTTACTAAAAATAAGTGTCAAATTCTTAACCTTAATGATGACTGTTCTGGACTCTTAACTATAATGCTTGGGTAGAGGATGAGTACAAGGAGCTGTTCAGTGCTACAGTGCTGTAGTAGCACAATCCTTGTGATTTTCTTTTTAAAGTCTTGATGGAGCAGGTGTAGAGGGCCCCAAATTAAAATCTTTATTGTCTAAATGCTGAATGTAGAAAACGGTGTTCTTCCTGATTCCCAGAGTATGAGGGAAAACGGAAGGGCTGTGGGTGAAGTGATTTTTCTGACATCTATGTAGTGAAATTATAGTTGGAGTTGGTTCCAGGATATTAGAGACAAAGTCGATGAAGTAATATCTTTTATTGAGTCACTTCTGTACACTAAAATATATAATCTCCCCGATCTGTCTTTCTGTTTTCTGACTTGCTGAATGTTACTGAACTGCCAGAAGGAAGTCTGCAGTCCTGGTGTACACCCTGATGTGGGACTAGTTAAACAGTTTCCTCTCATATTTGGAGAAAGTAGCAGTGAATGATTCCCTCCTCCCATTTTTATTTTTACAGGGAAGTGTTTAAGAAGAATAATGCTCATATTCCTGACCTGTCCTTGGCTGCTTTCTTATGTGGCAGTGGGATGATCCCAGTGTTTGTGTATCTGTTGTGCAGGTGCTTCTTACAATCTTGAGCAGGGGGATAGTAAGTGGACTCTGGGCTGAATGTGTTTCACCAAGGCTAGCCCCTGGCTGGCTGCCAGTCATTTGTTTACCTGCATATCTGCAGGCACAACTGCTTACAGCTTCCGTTGGCCTTGGTTCTCTGTTCCTGGCCTGTGAGAAGCAGTGATCTGCCCATACCCACAGTTCCTGATAAATGCAAAATAATGCATTGGAAAACAGTCACAACTATATGTATAAAATGATGGGAGTTAAATTTAGCTATTAGCACTCAAGAGTAGGGATGTAAAATCCTGTTTAATCAGAATACCAGTTAAATATTATATTTAACCAGTTAACAACTTAAAAGGGGGTGGATGGTGAGCCACCCCACCTGGGCTGGAGTGGCCTCCCTGCTACACTAGGGGCTGCTTTGGCTGGGCATGAGTGCTCCTGTTGGTGATGCGCTGGTCCTGCCATGGGCATGGGCTGCTTTGGCCAGGCTGGAGCTCCCCTTGCCCACAGTGGGTCCTGTTGGGCTGGAGCAGCCCCCTGCCCAAGTTGGGCGGGTGGCTGCTTCCGTCCACTGGTTAACCATTCACATCGCAACCTGAGAGCAATCTTGGAGTCACTGTGGATAGTTCTCTGAAAACATCTGCTCGGTGTGCAGCAGCAGTCAAAAATAGAAAACAATGTTAGTAATCATTTATAAAAAAGGCTAGAGACTTAGATAGGGATATTTGTTAAATTTTGTTTAATCAACTAATTGAGTAGTCAGTGGAATTTCCTGTTGGTGATGCGCTGGTCCCACCATGGGCATAGGCTGCTTTGGCCAAGCTGGAGCCTGGTCTAGAACATGGGAAACTGCAGAGCCACAGTGGAGTTAGCTCCTGGACCCGGGAGTTAACTCTGCTGCTGCTCTGCCTTTTAAATGTAGTAACAGCCACATGACTCATTTAAAAGGCAGAAGTGCAGCAGGAGACCGAGCACAAGCTGAGAATCAGCTGTCCCAGCTTGTGCCTGGACTCAGACACTGCACCTCTGCTTTAAAAGCATTTAAAAGGCAGAGGTGCAGCAGGGGACCAAGCACGAGCTGGCAATCAGCTGTCCCTGTGCATGCCCAATCCCAGATGCTGTGCCTCTGCCTCTCCTGTCCCCTCCCCTTCAAGCTGCCCCAGCACCAGCTTATGCTTCCATCCTCCTTTCTGCTTTTCATAAAGGCAGCAAGGTGGTGGAAGTGACTAGTTGAGGAGTCACTTGACTAGCTGCTTACATCCGTAGAATAAAATAGAAAATATCTTATTACCTCTATATAAATCCATGATAGGCCCACATCTTGAATACTGCCTGTAGATGTGGTCGCCTCCTCTCAAAAAAGATGTCTTGGCGTTGGAAAAAGTTGGGAATGGGGCAACAAAAATGATTAAGGGTATGGAACGAGTACCATGTGAGGAGAGATTAATAAGACTGGACTTCTCAGCTTGGAAAAGAGGCGACCAAGGGGAATATGATAGAGATGCATACAATCATGACTGGTGTGGAAAAAGTGAATAAAGAAGAGTTATTTACTTCTCACTATAACACAAGGACTAGCGGGTCACCAAATGAAATTAATAGGTAGCAGGTTTAAAACAAACACAAAGGTAATATTTGTTCACACAGCACATAGTCAACCCTTGGAACTACTCGCCAGAGGATATTGTTAAGATCAGGACTTTTAACAGGGTTCAAAAAAGAGCTAGATAAATTCATGGAGGATTGGTCCATCAGTGGCTGTTAGTATGGGCAGGAATGGTGTCCCCAGCTTTTGGTTGTCAGAAGGTGTGAATGTGTTACAGGATTACCTGTTCTATTCATTCCCTTGGGGCACCTGGCATTGGCAAGATGCTGGGCTAGAAGACAGAATAGAATGCTGCACTAGGTGGACCTTTGGTCTGACCCTTTACAGCTGTTCTGTACTTATCCTGGTTTAGAGAATAGATTGAAACTTGCATTTACCATTGATTAATGCTATCCAGAAAACTTTTTCCAGAGAGCTTCTTATAATGGTATCTTTTCCACTAAAGACCTTTGTAAAGTATTACATACAAATGAGTATCAAATATCATGGCAAGGATTTTAATTTAAATTTGCAAAATAGGAACATTGAAAATCCAGGCTTCTGATCTAACCGCATGGACACCGTTTTAAAAATAGGCAGTATGGTATGTCAAACAATTGGTTATGTAGTTCCTGGGGTCACCCAGAACAAATAAATATGCAAAAATAAAACACACTTAGGCTACATAGGATGTAGTTATAGTCTTCTTATGTTTTAAAATGCTATTATAAACTAAAAAGGACACCTTCATTTTAAATCTTTCTTTTACCTGCAATATTTTGACCCAAGAATTCTATAATAT